AGAAGTCGACGCAGAGGGCGAGCTGATCATGAAGTCGGTTGAAAGCCAGGGCATTTCAAACACTTTCACCGTGGTGCAAGGACTGGACAAGGTCGAACCCGCCAAAGCCAGGCCGTCAGTCGTTTCGTCGCTCAAGTCCTACATCACCCACTGGCTACCCGCGACCGAGCGCGTCTACTCTCTCGACAACCGCCAAGAAGCCGCAAACCTCGTTCGGTCGCTATGCACAACTACCACAAAGGGTGTCCGGTGGAGGGACCAGAGGAGCTACATGTTCATTGAGGACATCGCGTGGCCTGGAGGCAAGTCGGCCGTCAACGCGGACGACACGGGTGATGTGGTCATTACCGGTGTCGTGCGCGGGCTTGGGTTGAAGGCCGACAGGCTGGTACAGGTGGGAGACTGGGGTGATTTCCAGGTCGACAAGATCGTAGCCGCCCCACTAGAGACGAGGAAGAAGCACAAGGAGGAAGAGATGGCTGTTGATACAGAAGGCGATGGCATCCTAGAGCGTCCCACAGAAGACCAGGACGACCTAGCAGATCTCGCACCAGAGGAAACCATCATGGACGACGTGACCAACTACGCCACGTCTATTGCGCCTTCTGAGCGCAAGGGCGTCTTGCTAGACGACCACCACTATTTCTCAGACGAGGAAGAGGAGGTCGCGCCGGCCAAAAAGAGGCGGCTACCAAAGGGCACAAGTGAATACCAGTCCGCATGGTATCTCGACGACATGTCCGACTCGGGCTCGGATTTGGAAGACTTCGACGACATGGAAGTTGACGAAGACGCCCAGAGCCAGCCTGCGCACCCTGCAGATGGTGTAGAGGGAATGGACGTCGATGGCAAAGCTATGACCGAGGGCGCTCCTTCAGAATACCCGCAATCGGAGATGTTCCTAGATCCATCACCAGAGGACGAGGCCGCACAGATCGAGGAGTACCGGAAGTCTAGGAAGACAGAAGAGGACGAAGATCTTGAGTTCCCCGACGAGATCGAGCTGCATCCAAACGTGAATGCGCGAGAGCGTCTCATTCGCTACCGGGGACTGAAAAGTCTAAGGAACAGCACATGGGAGACAGAAGAGGATCGACCATACGAGCCGGAAGAGTGGCAGCGGTTGCTCGACATCTCCGACTACAAGCGTACAGCGACCAAGTTCATGCGCGAAGCCTGGGCTGGCGGTGTCAAGCCCGGAACTCGGGTCAGCGTTCACATTCGCGGTGTCCCGCTACAATTCCAGGAGATGCAGTCACGGCCAATGGCCATGTTCTCACTCCTGAGACACGAGCACAAGCGTACAGCCGCCAACTACAGCATACTGCTCAGCTCTGAGCATGACGGCCCGATCAAGTCGAAGACTGAGATGATCGTGCAGTGCGGGCCAAGGAGGATAGTAATCAACCCTGTAAGTCACCTTAAGCTTCTACTCTATCCCTCAATACTAACAGCATCTAGCTGTTTTCCCACGCCGGTAACACACCGAACAACGTGCACAAATTCTCCCGCTTCCTCCACCCTGGCCAATCGGCTATTGCATCTTTCATCGGACCTCTAACTTGGGGCAACGTCCCTCTCCTCTACTTCACTCGCACAACCCCCTCTCCCGACCAGCCCTCCTCCCTTCGCCTAATCGCGACCGGAACATCTCTCCCACCCTCCACAAACCGCATCATCGCCAAGCGCATCATCCTGACGGGCCACCCGTACAAGATCAACAAGCGCGTTGTCACAGTGCGCTACATGTTCTTCAACGACGGCGACGTCAAGTGGTTCAAGAGCTTACCGCTGTGGACGAAGCGCGGAAGGAGCGGTTTCATCAAGGAGAGTTTGGGTACGCACGGATACTTCAAGGCTACTTTCGATGGCAAGATCAGTCCCATGGATGCTGTTGCTGTTAGTTTGTACAAGAGGGTTTACCCGAGAGGCGCGAGAGCGTGGAGGGGTGAGCTGGACCAGGCAGGTGAGATGGAACAAGCTGCTTAGAGGCTTACGACGCGTCAATGACTTTTATGATATCATGGGGTTTTAGATAGGCTAAAATGGGTATGGAGTTTGTTGTTCATCTTTTACGAATAGAGTATCTGAGCCTATACTCGTTCAACAGATCCGTGAAGTAAACGCCGTGAAATGCTTATACGAAGGATGCTTTTCACCGCCAACGCCAATTCGAGGTCTTAAAAGTGCATTAAACCAAGTCTCTTGACCCCTCACTTCCTAGCAAACCTCTCAAGCGCCGGTCCATAATCCTTCTTCAATCTCTCCTTCCTCTCAATCTGCCTCTTCTGCATATTCTTCAACGCCTCCCTCGCCCTCTCCTTCTCCTCATCAACCACATTCTTCGTCCCACTCTTCCTCAAATACCTCCTCAGCGCCGAATTCCTGCCCTTTCCCCTCTTCTTCAACATATCCACCTTATCCGGCTCCTTCTCGCCCCTCGCAGCGCGGTATTCCCGCTGCCGCTCTTCGTTAGACGCGAGATCGAGGTTACCGACAAAATTGGGGTCGAGCGCAATCATCTCGGGTTGGATCTTTTCCAGCAGGGCATGCACTTCTGTTTCGCGGCGCTGCTTGGAGGTTTCGTAGGGGTTGGTGCCGGGCTCGAGGGTGTCGGGGTTGGCTTCTCCGGCGCCGGGCACGATGATGGAGGAGAAGCCTTTGTCGTGCGATATGCCGAGGACGTCTTCGAAGGGGCAGAAGCGCACGCGGCTGACGTTTAGGCCTTCGCCGCCCCAGCCCATGTACGGCATGATGGGCGCTGCGGCGTCCTCGGGGTTGCGGCGGAAGATGTCGTCTTTGTAGATGGAGGTCTGTGTGCCGTAGCCGACGGCTGTGAGGTTGCGGTCGGAGATGGAGAGCGTGGTGCCCGGGACGCGCAGGTGGGTTTGGTACATTTCTTTGAACATGCGGACGTCCCAGACGGACATGCGTCGGTCTTGCGATGTGCTGACCATGTATGTTCCTGATCTGTCGACTGCGATGCTTCGAACGGGGCCGCGGTGTGGGAGGAGTTTGACGAGGGGCGTGGCGCTGTTGGGCGACCAGAGGGTTACGAGACCTTTTTGGTGGCCGACATGCAGGATGGCGTTGTGTGGATTTTGTGCGAAAGCTGTCGCAGGGCCGAGTTTTGTGTATAGTTGTGGTAGGGATTGTCCTGTCGAAACATCGGTGTATCGTATTATACCCGCGGTCGATACCGAGGCGAGGAGGAAGTGGTAGGGGAGGTATTCGAGGTGTGTGGCTTCGGAGTGGTTCTTAAGCTTGTGCATCTCCACACCGTCGCCCGAGTAGATGTAGACACAGTTCTTCTGCGCGACCGCAAAGTTCTTCTGGTTGCTCGTATGCAGCCATCGCGCGTCTCGCACCGTCTCGTTGAGTTGGAGTTCGCAGCCGACTTTTCCGTCTCGCCAGTCAAAGGTCGCGACATGTCCTTTCCTGCCTGCGATCAACAAGTCCCGGCCGTTGCGACTGTACTCGCATACATCGTAAGGACCCAGACCGTCTAACTTCAACTCGAAGCCTTTCTTCGCCGTCTCCATACCAACTTCCCGCTTGATTTCATCTTGTCGCACTTTGTATGTTCTTTCCAGCTCATTTTCGGTTTCCAATAGTCCTGGGTTGTTCTCGAGCAGAACTTCGACATTCTTCGCTTCTATCGCCGCCTGCTTGTTCTTCACCTCAAGCGATGTAATGTTTCTCCGCAGCTTCTTATCCTTGACTGTTTTCGGCCGTATGCGGTCGCCGCGCCCATATTGTTTTGTGGCTGATTCGGTGAATTCGGCGATCGCGCGGGTGTCTTCGTCGTCTATGGGCGCTGCGTTTTGCGACTTGCGCCGCGGTTGCGCTGTGCTGGGCTTGGAGCCGCGTTCAGTGGCCATGATGCAGGTGCGGTGGCTGACAGCCTTTGGCGACAGTGGATAAATTGATTCGCTCCGTAAGCTAGTTTTGTGACTGGTGAATCCACTGCATGTATTCGCTGAGAGTGTATGCGCAAAGGGTTCCTGGTCGCGAATGCCCCAATTCTAGAATTATTTCTGCCGGCGTTCACCGCTTCGAAGTCTTGGCGACACTAGTGATGCACAACCCAAACTCCACGCCTCCCTCACCATCACTAAACTTCTGTTTTGCTGACTTCACGTGAAATCAAACACCATCTCCGCTGATATCCGTCGAAGTCCTCAGGTCGGGGTCATCTAGATTATCTTGATCAGGCTTTGCAAGTGGTAGCATCTCAGCGTGGCATTCACCTTATGGCCTCCGCACGAGAGTTATGTTTGCGTGCCGACATCCTTCCTTTCGGGGTTTCCAAGGCTCGCACTGGACGTAGAGATGGCCTTGGAACCGAATGTACCCTTGGTCTGTTTATTCGTGCTTGATGTAAGGTCCATCGCCTCGGCATTGCTCGACATTTAAAGCTGAGGTGACGGTTGAGCGGCTGTTTGAGCTTGAGCATCTGCAGCCGCTAAAGCTTGAGCTTGTTGAAGCTGGAACGCAGCAGCGCGGGCACGCATTTTAGCCTTTCTGGCCTCTGATGGCTCCCCATTTTGTCCCTTACGACCCATGGCAGTAGTCAAAGAGAGATTGGAAAAAGATTGAGGGGGCTGGAGGAGCTGGAGGAGCTGGAGGAGCTGGAGGAGCTGGAGGAGCTGGAGGAGCTGGAGGAGCTGGAGATGTAGTAGGGTTTTAGACAGCTTCAAGGCTGTGTGCTCAGTGTGTATGCTCAGGTGCTCGTACAGGAATCCAGACGATGACTGCTACTCAGCGCCGAGATCGCAGTATCACATGCTACACATGTGTTGGGCAGCTGCAGCTTCTCTCACTGGCTCCTGCCTTCACCTTGAGTTCGGCCCAAACAAACAGCGTGTACCTTTAGGCTTCGCTTAGGCATCCCTCTCTTATTCCCACCGCCGTACAGGGTCTCAGGGTCTCTCATCAACCCCATTCCACTCTCTCGTTCTCATACTTCACATACTACTCTACAACACCAGTCGCCAACGATGGGAGGCCGCCGCAATGTGCACGCTTACAATCAGGATGAGATCGACAGGTACGTACAAATAAGATTGACCGGAAATGCCATCGACAGCATGATTACTATTGAAACAACCCAGTCGCAGTCCAATTTGACGCGCTGCTAACCTTTCTTCCCAGGCTCCAGGGTATCCCGCTTCCCATGAAGATCAAGTGCGGCCGGTGCCACAAGAACCTCCCTCAAGTCAAGTACTCCACCAAGCAGCTGACCGATGCACGACACCAAATCAAGACCTCAAGCAAGATCTTCAAGCCCATCAACTGCCACAGTTGCACTGGGCAGCAGAAGGTCGAGATCGAGTGCACCATGTGTGGCAAGACGAAGGGCTTGGAGGAGTTCGCAAAGTCTCAGCGCGCCAAGCCCGACACTGCCAAATGCTTCAAGTGTGTTGAGGCTCAGCTCGCTGATGAGGCCGTCGATGAAGACCGCTATATCGAACCAGATAGGGCCTTTGTTCCGCCCGACCACTCACAGGGTCAGTTTCCCGAGTACTGGTCCGCAGCTACTAGTGAAACATCTTCTACTTATGTGAGCTTTCTACAAGGGCTGTCTGTGGCCGTCATACTGATCTGTATAGGGGGATGATGAGTGGAAGACTGTCAACGGCATCAACCGACGAACCGAGCGCAAGGACATTGAAGACGGAGGTATTGCGCTGTCGGCTAGCTTCCAGAAGGCTATGTCCATGAACGGTGAAGCAGACGAGAGCCTCATCGGCACTGAATACTCCTTCCCGGCTGGCCATGGAAACGCCAACACTGACAGCTGGAGCGAGGTCCGCACCAAGTCCTGGCACACCCAGTCCAATGCGGCTCCTAGTGCGAGCTCAGGCTTCAACCCCAACGCCTATCGTCGCTCGACTTCCTCCGTCACCGGCTCGTCCCACACCTTCACCTCCAGTGTGGCTGAGCGATCTGACACTTCGGAGATCCGCCCCAATGGATGGGCCAAGATTCGTGCTGCTCCTCGAGGTCCTCCTATGGTATGTTCAACGATGAATCCTTCAGATCTTGAGTGTTGGCAAAAAAAAAAAATACTGACTATTTCATAGATGCCTATGGGTGATACTGTCCGACAGACAGGGTCCACTGTCGATGCTTGGGACTCGGATGAGGAGGAAGACGAAGAAGACGAGGACGATGATGACAGTGACGACGACACAGTCATCTAGTCACTTGATCCCGGTATATAGAGATCACAGAGATTGACAAGTTTGCACAACGGACAAGGTCCTGTTCTGCAAGGGGATGCGGGAGTTTGGATTGGACTGGCGTTTGATGTGTACATGGATTATTTGATTTAGCTGTGGTCATGACAGCGAATTGTCTACCACGTGCTGTCCCACCGGAGGGACGTACATAGGACTACAAAAGTTGAATTCCTGAATCGATAGCGTTATGGATAGCCCTATCGCGCGACTATGGTGACAGTGAATGGAACGCTGTCAGGGGTAGACTAATCCGGAAAAAGCGACTAATTGCCACCACGTGATTGCGCGCCGTACCCCAACGCGCCTTCCTGCGCATGTCCCACCCCACTCACACCCAGCGCAGTCGCTCCACCACGACTGTACCGCAACACTTTCTTTCAAATCACTTTGGTTTCAATCGCTCTTACAGTACGAAATAGATACAGGCATCATGTACGTCAAGTTTCGCTATTCGACTTTATGGGCGCGCAAGACTAATGAGTGGCGACAGGAGCGGACGACGACCTAGAGGCGCAGGCATTCGGGGGCCGCACTCTGCCTTGACAGATTTTCTGGCCGTGAGTGACATCTGTTCTGGGGACAAGCATGCCCAACATTCAAGACTTGCGACATGAAGATCGAAAGCGGCTGGGTTCTTGCTCGATAGCGGCCGCGCAAACCTCAGTGGGCGAGGCTTGAGAGAGACACTCGCTAATATCTCATTATCAGGCGAACAACATCTCTGCAGCAGAGATCCGCGATTCGTACGAACAGCGTCGTCAACAAGCCGAGCGAGACGCAGCAGAAACAGGAGATAATGGCGAGGGACCTTCAAATGCCGGTGAAGAGGACGAAGATGTCGAGGAGGACGTACAAGCCGAATCCTCCGCAATGGCAGCCGAGCGCACCCGCAAACGTAAGCGCAACCAAGACGAGGCCATAGCGAAGATCAAGAAGGGCAAGGCGGCGAAGAAGGCATCAAAGAAGAAGAGCAAGAAGAAGGGCTCAGACGATGAGTCCGACTTCGAAGATGCGATGGACATGTACAAGAAGGCGAAGCCCCTCCCTGGTCAATTGGAGAATTGCGAAATCTGCGACAAGCGATTTACCGTCACACCATACAGCAAAGCTGGTCCAGATGGTGGACTCCTGTGTACACCATGTGGAAAGGAGATGGTCAAAGATGCAAAGGCGGAGAAGAAGTTGGCTAAGCCAGTTGTGCGAAAGGGTCGCAGGAAGATTGAGAGCAACCGCCTTGATGGTATGACACAGCGCGGACCCAAAACACTTCAACAATTGTGTATCGAGAAGCTCGCGAAACATTCGGAGGACATTGACGAGCTGGGCGAGATGCCAGAGGGTATCATGAACCGAATCAGCGAGATCTTCTCCAAGAAGCGAGCGATGAACTCCAACACGATGAAGCTGTTCCTCCAGTCAGACATGCAGTCAATCGCAATTCATGAGGCAGCATATCTCGAGACGGAGGACTACGACCAGATCTTTGCCGTTTGCCCAAATGTCAAGCGTCTGTCGCTGCGCAACTGCTGTCAGTTCAAGGATAGCAACATCGACTACATGAACGAGAAGGCGAAGGCACTCGAAGAGATTCAGCTGCTAGGAGCCAACCTCGTCTCCAACGACAAATGGATTGAACTCTTCATTGCTAGGGGCCAAGATCTCAAGTCGCTGAAAGTTGAGTGGTTAGACGCCGCGTTCGACGACCAAGTAGTTGAGGCACTTTCCACCTTCTGCCCCAACCTTGAACGCCTCAAGATTGAGCGCTGCAAGAAGATCGGCCCGGACAGTATCGACGCCATTGCTCACTTGAAGCGCCTGAAACACCTCACACTCCGCTTCTACGACCCCATCACCCGCGAGAAGCTCGTCCATCTAGTCGACTCAGTTGGCGACAACCTCCGCACCCTCTGCCTAGAGCACTTCCTGGACAACACAACAGAGCCTACCGATGACGTTCTCGAAGCCATCCACAACAAGTGTCACTATCTCAGCAAGTTCCGCTTCACAGAGAACAACGAATGCACCGACGCTGGCTACGTGAAACTCTTCACCAACTGGACCAACCCACCGCTCCACTACATCGACGTCAACTCAACCCGCGACCTAGACAACACAAACCCCGACGGACCCGAAGACGAGCCTATCGGCCTCGGGTCCAACGGTTTCCGCGCCCTAATGGCCCATTCGGGCTCGCGCCTCGAATTCCTAGACATATCCTCCTGCCGCCACATCTCGCACGCTACCTTTACAGAAATCTTCGACGGCAAGAAGGAATATCCTCATATCCGCGAGATCAACCTCTCCTTCTGTCCCGTCGTCGATACGGAGATTGTAGCTGGTGTCTTCCGGTCGTGTCCCGCTATCAAGAAGGTAGTCACGTTTGGTTGCTTCCAGGTCGCTGACGTGGTGGTGCCGAGGGGTATCGTCTTGATCGGAGCGCCGAGGGCACAGGATCAGATTGAGCAGTTTGGTGAGGTGGTGTTGGATTATCAGAGGGAGAATGAGCAGAGTATCGGGCATATGCGTGCTATGGGGCGTATCGTTCCTGTCGTGGGATAGATGTGTGTTCTTCAAAAGCGGCGTATGGGCGCATGTATGGTAGGGCGTACTGGTGGCATCACACGTTCAAGTTTACGCGTCGATATCTGGGGAGACATACTACGGTGGCTATGGGCGTTTTCTGTTCGTATGCGAGATGATATAGATGCATAAAGATGTCAATCACTCTGCGCAAGAATCTTCATATTGAGTATGCGGATGCTGGATGCTGGATGCTAATAGATACATGATACATGGTACTCCTCAAACGCGACCATTGCCCTCGCGCTGACTCCTCGCTTGCCCAAATCGTTAAATGGTAATAAGTAACAGCGTAGCTACGCATATTCTCAAGTCCTACAGATGAGCTGAGTGGGACATACGTAGTCCTCTGCGCCCCCGGCGTAGATGTACTACCCCACTAATTGTAACCCACTCATACCTTGCTCAACCAGATCATAAACCCAAATTGCACCACATAGCTATAAACAAACAGAAACTGCGTCCTCCTCGACTTCTGACCAGTCTTGATATCCTGGGGATATCCCACGGGAGCAGGAGCGCCAAAGGCGTCTTGTGGTTTATTGTCAGGCAACAGCACGTATTTCAGGCTCCTCAACAAGAAGAACGAGTTCGCGCTGAAGCAGTAAAGGAATATGACCCAGCCGACCCAGGAGCTACTGAAACCGATCCAGTTGGCCAAGTTGGTGATGAGCAGAGATACGATGACGTGGACGAACTTGTAGCCGCTGTATGCGACGAGGTCGAGGAGTTGCGAGGAGCTGCTGATGGCGAGGAGGAAGGTGCCGGTTCGGATGATGAGGATCTCGAGTAAGGTGACGGCGATTGCGACGGTAGCGGTCTTGCCCAGGAGTTCGGGGTTGAAGGCGCCGCGTAGACCTGCGAAGAGTGTCGATAGCAGGATGTAGGTCACCAGGGCCATGGTGGGTATGTACATGTCTGGTGAGTTGACATCTTCTCGTGGAGGTTGGTATAGCAGTGCGGCGGAGGCTGATGGGTCGGCCGTGTGTTGTCTTTGGCGCGACCAGGGACGGTGCCACCATGGGAAGAGGATGATGCGTAGTTTGTTAAGGACGTAGGAATTTGTGACGTTGAAGTAGTGCTTCAGTGCGGATACTGAGACAAGGCGTCCTAGCTGGGATATTGTCAGTGGTCTGTTCATCAACGGGGGGCCTGCGCTATGCCTTGTGGACATACGTTCTGTTCCATGTAGTGCTGCCCAGCGTCCACGGCGCTCTTTCCCATCTGGAACCCTAACTGGGCAGTCGGGTCGTTGATGAAGCCGCCGAACGATGGGTGCACGCCATATCCGCCTTGTTGCGGCGGCATGCCACCAGCCTGTGATCCGTAGCCATAGCCGCTCTGGGGTTGTGAAGGGGGTTGCGGGGGAGGTGGTGACCGTAGCTGGGGGACTGTGGAAACGTGTTGTGGGACGGGGTGGTGTACTTGATGGAGTCAGTACACAGCATCTCAGGAGGCATCATGGGACGCGTCCTAATACGTACAAGGTGGTGAATGCGCCGGTGGTGGGTTGCCGTAGTTGGGGCGCTGCATGGCTGCGCGTCGGGGTGCTGGTCGGTGTAGCGAGTGCGGTGTCTAAGAGAATGAAAGAGACGAAGAACCAAGAGTTTTGTGATGCGCAATTGGACACGTCGCCGTCAATGTTGGTTGAATTTCTGCCTTGAGCTGCGGTGTCGTTGGCACCCCCGAATTCCGACCATCTGGCAAGAGCGTGCACGGCCCGTCGTCATATCCCACATGTGCCCGCCGCACCACCACGTCTCCCTTCCGCAACCTTCCCGCCGCCTTTCACCCTCGCCATGTTGGATACCTTCGAGATATTGACTACTTCCGGCGTAGTCCTGTGGTCGCGCACATATGTCCCGGTCGGCGCAAACGTCATCAACAGTTTAATCCGGGATGTCTTCATCGAGGAGCGCGTGCAACCTCACGCCGAAGATGCCGGCGCCAAACCTACATACAAGAAGGAGGGATATACTTTGAAGTGGACCGCAGCGAAGGATCTCGGCCTCATCTTTGTGGTACGAACACTGTTCCCGTTCGATCAAAGGGTCGAGACGGCACCACGGCGCAATGCGCCGTAGATATGCGCAAGGGCTGACTTTGCCATAGGCCGTATATCAAAGTCTAGTACACTTGACATGGGTCGACAAGCTCCTCGATAATGTGCGCGCACTCTTCGTCGGCCTCTATGGCGAGCAGCTGAAGACGGAGCACAGCAGTGTGGTCAACTGCGACAAATTCGGCGCCTACTTCGACCGACAGATGCATGACTTGGAAGGTGCCAGCGACTCTGGCGCACCAAGTATCAAGCTCACCACTCCCGAATCGAGTACCGACAACGACAGCGCCGACGAAAGCGTGCCCAAGCCAACGGCATTACAGAAACCACAGCAGTCCTTGTACGATACGAGCGCCGATTCAACACCAGTGCCCACGCCAGATACCTCGAGGCCTACTACACCGGCGCAAAGTCAGCTTTTGACTGGAAAGGCAAGACCGTTTGGAGGCAAGATGTCACGGCGAGACAAGAAGAAGGCCTCCGCATTCAGCTCGGCACCAGTGTCATCGGGCGACGAAGCATCAGCCAAGAAGAAGGGCAGGGGCTCAGCCAAGAAAGGCAGGGTGTGGGGTGAATTCGGTGCCGAGGAACAGGACGACTCTGTGCTCGACTACTCGCAATCAGACATCCAGGGCGACGCCTCTGGGAACGAGGCGCTTGAGGAGATCCGACCAGAGACATGGGGCCACAAGACAAAGAAGGGCGAGTTCGTGCTCAAAGATCTTGATGAAGAGATGGACGAGATAATCGCAGCACAAAACGCGAAGAAGGACAAGGAAGCGCCTGCTGCCTCTGGTGGGCTAGTAGGGTCCAGTCTGGGTGCCATTGGCGGCCTGTTCAGGAACGTGGTTGGTGGCAAGACACTGACCAAGGAGGATTTGGCAAAACCACTTAAGGGAATGGAACAGCACCTCCTTCGCAAGAATGTGGCTCTCGAAGCTGCGGTGCGACTATGTGAGAGCGTCGAGCGCGATCTCGTGGGCATGAAGACCCCCAGCTTTACCAGTCAGTTGACATGCCTAGCCCCCACTATATGCAGCTACTAACTATCGCAATAGCAATCGAGACGACGCTCAAGTCCTCCATGGAAAAGGCTCTCACCAAGATGCTTACTCCTACGTCCTCCCTGGACCTCCTCCGCGAAATTCAACATACCAACGCCACCACATCCCGCCCCTACGTCATCTCCATCGTCGGTGTAAACGGCGTAGGAAAGTCGACAAACCTATCCAAAATCGCCTTCTTCCTGTTGCAAAACCACCACCGCGTGCTCATCGCAGCAGCGGATACATTCCGTTCTGGTGCTGTGGAGCAACTACGCGTACACGTAGATAGATTGAAGGAGCTATCGCAAAGAGAAGGAGGTCAGGTCGATTTGTTCGAGAAGGGCTATGGCAAAGATGCTGCCAACATTGCAGCGGATGCCGTTACCTTTGCCTCGAAGAACAGCTTCAACGTGGTGCTCATCGACACCGCTGGTCGCCGACACAACGACCAACGTCTCATGTCTTCGCTTGAGAAGTTTGGCAAACTAGCCAATCCAGACAAGATTCTCATGGTAGGAGAAGCACTTGTCGGCACAGACTCTGTTGCACAGGCACGTAACTTCAACGCTTCTTTTGGCGTTGGGAGAAACCTCGATGGCTTTATTATCTCGAAATGCGATACCGTCGGCGATATGGTGGGTACACTGGTGTCAATGGTGCACGCGACAGGCATTCCAGTGGTATTCTTGGGTACCGGGCAGCATTACAGTGATCTAAGGACACTCAATGTTAGTGCCATTACGAGACTGCTCATGAGCTAAGTTTTCTACGGATTACCGGAGCCCTGTATTATAGTCTATCAATTCTAGTAATGATGAATCTCTGACCAGAGTAGGAAAAAGCAACATAAGAACCCACTGTTCGCAAGCTGAATGCCAATGCAAACCCATGTCCAGTCAAGCTTCAAGCGTGAGTAGTGACCCACACACCCCATTGTGGCGCCTGGAGAAAACCTGATCTTCGTCCCATTGAAGCTTAGATGTGGCTAAGTCACTGCGCCATAACCGTTTTGGCAGATTTTGGCTGTAAGGCCCGCCCGTACACATACACTCGCAAAAGATCCTCACACGATGTCAACGACGATGTTGTTGGCCAGCGCTGCACGGAAATTGCCGTTGAACGGCAAAAACGGCAGGCTAGGTGTAACGGAGCAATGCCCAGCAGCTCTTGTTGAATGCATGACCTTGTTTTGCAGAGATTGTGCGAGTTTCGCGTTGGGCAAATGACGACACAGACGCTCGTCCCCGCGTGCGCCTTCGACGTTCACGCCTCCCAAGCTTTACAGCATGCGCGCTATCGTCTTGGATCGACGTAACCGGTAGGCTAGACCATCCTCCAGCCTCTAACCAACCTGCGTTCCAGCCTCCGGCCTCGCGCGACTTGCCCCTGGTCCATCTTGTTTGGTAGAGCATGCGACTAGTCGGAACGCGTGTGCCGACCATGTACTATGACATTGAATGTTTATGGGGAAACGCCAGAGTCTGGGTGCTATGATGCAAGCGCCGTTATGGAAGGTGTAACCAGGGCCGATACATCAAAGGCAGCTCGACCTGCTAAAACCACACACTGAAAACGACACCCTCGTTTCGTGGCCTCATTCACATCCTCGACGTCGCGCACCATGTCTTCACCCAGCGCGTCTTCGCGGTCGGGTAACCACCGCAGCAGCTCTTCGTCTGTGTCTGCTTTGTATTCGACGCTGGTACCATGTATCGTGGTCTCTGGAATCCTTGTGGGAGCTTTCTTGCTATTGCGAGCAAAACAGAGGCGTTTATACGCACCACGAACTTTCCACGATGCGCTTTTCGAAGAGTACGTTTCATCACATATTTGCCTCCATATCTTCCATCGAGACTAACGAAGAACACAGT